CATACAGCACGAGCAGCTAAGTCCAGATACCTCTTGTGTACCCAGTCCAGGACTGTGGAGCTGGTGACACGTACCTTCTGGCAGGCTCTTTTGCACACATGCTTGTACTCTTTAGCTTTGGATTCGGAATGATAACCTGCACCTGCAATTGAAGCAAATGGAAAATATTTTATAGTACCTGGCTAACTACAGCCTGTAATTCACATAGAGATTTAAGACATAGGCAGATACAGTGTTCCTTATTCTGGATTACATTGGCATTTCCTTTTTCTATCAGTGATTGACAACTTCATGCATTCCAACACTGAATCAAACACACTCAGTAAAATACAGGATACAGATCATATATCCAAAAGCATGCAGGTATAAATATCAGCATCAATCTCTTCCTATAAAAACATTCCAAGAAATTCCAGTTTCACTCATTCTTAAGAGGATGTCCAGCATAGCTTTTTACTTTACTGTCCATTATTGGACAGTAAAGTTTTAAGTTCAAAATTTTGACTTAGTATAATCTTTTTATCATAATTACCATTCTGCTCATTTTCTCATGTTTTGCTACATTTTTATAGCTTGTTACTCCTGACTTAAAACAAGAAGTTCCTCGAAATGAAGATCATGCAGATTTTTCACTTTTTTCTTATTTTCAGTCTTTATCCCATTGTATTGAACCATTCTGCCTCATTTTGAAGCCACTGCCCCTACTTTCATACCTGAAAAATTTATCAATTTGTCACCATTCAACTATATGCAGCATCAGAAAAACAAGAGTGGCACACTTATACTTAAAATCTACTTCTGTTTTACCAGGCTTTGCACCTAAAAATGTGCCTTCACCTCAACTTCCCTTTGCTCACCCTCAGAAATATCACTTATTAGAAACTCTAACAAAATAAGTTTTAACACTAATACCAGAATGAAAGCAGAGGACACTATACTGAGTGTCAGTCCAGTAAAGGACACTATATTAAGCAATCTCATTTGCCCTTAAAATAGAATACCAGGGTCATCAAACGTGAACCCAGAATAAATTATTTGAGGTTTGGGGTTGTTTTTTTAACCTTAATTATTTTATACAGCAAGTAAAATGTTGGCTTTTCAAATATTTTAGGCATGACCAGGCCAGTTTCGTTTATTTCACGTCATATATTCACACAGATGCTCAGAACAAATCTACACCCAGATATAAGCATTGTTAATTTCATGATTCATAGTATTTAATAAAGACCCCATGAGAGAAGAATTTATGAGCAACACACACATAATATTTTGTATCAGATCTGAGCAGAGGAGCCGTTCATTTTAAGTGGAAAGAATAAACAGTACCTCACTTAAACATGAACAAGATAAAAAAAAGTAGACTTGGAAGAAAAATGTCAGAAGGGTAAAAACAGTTCTGCAACAAAAAGCCCAAGGAAATTTGAGAAGATCTGAGCTGGACTGACCTCATGGACAAGCTAGACAAGAAACCATCAGTAATGAAACCACTGTATTTCATCCTTCTGTAGATAAAAGAAACGGACTGAATTATCTCCCTCATTTTGTAGGTTTGCTAAGCTTAGCAGACAACTGCAGAATATGATATTTTATAATCATTCAAATTTGGAGGTTTTCTTTGTCAAAGAGAACAATACCATCCAGAACACCAAAATAGCTACATTTTTATTAAGAGTTTATTGTGCAACTTCCAATCAAACACTGAGACTTGCCCACAGAATGTCACTTTATTAGCACACTAATAGTCCAAAGCCACTAAAAAATTTTTGTTGGTAATTAGTTTGATATCAAAATATGCATTATTTTCATTCCAGCTGTTCTTCTTCCACACCTTACCTGCATGGACAAGCACAAATCCCACTCGTTTCCCTCTTTGGGTTTGCTTTGCTTCGGGCTCTTTGACCACCACTTTTACAGCTGTAACCTGAGATGATTTGGAAGGTAATACTTCTACTGAACTTATCCCCTTCTCCATGATCATACATTAGGATCACCATCTTCTACTGGGAAGGAGCACACTTCCACTCAAAAAGAAACTCCGGAGAGAAATCATCCTAAAACCAGATCAAACGTATATGTTAGACACTGATTTTAAGATACGAATTTCACACAAATAACCTCAGAAAGAACTTTAGGGAGAGAGGTTTGAACCAAGGGGAACACACCTCTCCAAAACAAGGCTTAGAAGTTCAGCCCCTTCCCTAGCCAACAGCATTAATGAGACCTAAAATTATCAAAGTCCATGTTGCAAGCTGAAAGCAGCCTTTTCACTACAACAGAAATGATCTTGCCATACACTGGAAGGAACTATCAACGTAAGTTTTGCTTTCCATGGTGTCCTGTTTTTCCAATAATACAACTAATTTCTTCACCCATCACATCTAACTAGCACATGAATAACCCTTTAAAACACCACACTTTTTCCTTTCTTTTGCAGAGAATACCTGTTTAAGGTCCTATAATGAACTCCTATTCTTCTATACCGTTTCATCCCATCTCCTTATAATTCCCCACTAATTTGCAGCAGGAAAAGAAAAAAATCAATTAACTTCTTTTTAATGACAAAGTATTTCCAAGACAAAAATCGAGTAAGCCTAAAACAGTCAAATAGTGTTTGTCTGGGAAAGCAGAGCTGCCATGATTATTAGTGAACCTCAACATGCTTAAGTCAAGCTCAAATAATTTAGTAACTATATTGGTTTTGATGGTTACCCTTAAGATGTTAAGAAAATGAATGTTTATAGAAAGCTAGTGGAAATATTGTCAGTATTCTCTAGCACATGAAACAAAAAACGTAATAATACAGAATGCTGTATTTATCAGGAGTTGCCAAACTCTCTGTATTTACTGCTGCTCCTATTCACAGCTTATTACATATTAAACCTGTCACAAAGCCATTTGTCTAGTTCAGCAGGTAAAATAGAAACAGAAACATTCCACACACTGAATTACTTAAGCGAAAAGCACGTAGTGTTAATGCAGAAATGGAGAAAACTTCTGTAATATCTAAGACAGTTTCTATATTAAGAACCAGATGAATTTCAAGGTCCTTTCCAATCCAAACCATTCTCAGACTCTACACCTCTATGCTACAGTATAATGTCTATCACTCCAACCATCTCAAAAAGGACTTTGTAACCCAAGAACATTGGAAGGTGAACAGAGCTGGAAAAATGAGATGTTTAATGCATAAGACTTAAACCACTGACTTTGCAAATGCTATATGGCTTACTCCAGCAATTGAATACCTCTCCATTTAAATGGCCCAAAGTATGCAAGTGATGTTTAGCAAGATTCAGCACTGCCACGGAACAAACCAACTGGTTTGCCATAAGTATTCTTTTAGTAAGAAGAATCAGCACAGCTCTGGAGGAAGTCATTTATTTAACATAATTTCTTCTTAAATGCTAAACATACCTATTAATTGTCACACATTTATAAATTTACTTTCCAAAATTAAGTATGAACTTATTGTTATAATTACATATGTCCTGACACAAAGTGAAAGGTCACTACAATACATAGGCCTTACAGAGAGAAAGAATGTTTATGGATTACATCCAATTGTAATGGTCACTTGGAAAAACTTCAGTGCTAAAATTCAAGTATTCATCATGGCATCTACTTCCTTTTTACCAATAATAGTAAAGAAGGCTCCAGCAACCACTGATCCTCTTTGCTGCATCTTCTTATACCCTACAGAACACCACTTCTGCAACAAGGGCATAGCATACACTTCAGTAAAGAGACAGAGAAGGAAGTAAGGAATTTAAACTCTCAAAGGAATGGAAGAAATAGTGTGGTGGTAGGGAAAGCAATAATGATGACAAAATGGCATTGGAAAATTAAGATGAAGATGTCACTTAAAAACTTACTAACAGTGTAACTGCAGGCTGAAAATCCCAGTTAGGTCTTTGCGTACAGCTGGGTCTAAGGATGTGTTTATTTCTACAGAGAACATACAGGCAAACCTAGCTCTCTCGTTTGCTTCCGTTTGTAACACTTCCTCCACACCAACTCAATTTTCTCAAACCCCTCCCAGCTCAAACTGTTCTTCAAGTCCTCTTACATTTCATTCACAAACCTTCTGCTTCCACTTGTTAAGCTCACACTGGACCCAACTTTTCCCTTTCAAGCCTGCTCTAGGATTTATCAGTTCTCCCTTCCCGAAGTCAGGAAGCGGTCATACTTCCAACCGCTCCTGACTTCATTCCTCCTTGCTACGCATTCCCAGCTCTCCATCTGTGCAGCGGCAGAAACGCTGGAGGAACACACAGCAGCGTGACTGCTGGAGAACGGGAACCAAAACGATCTTACCAAAACAGTCAATGCCCTGACTGCACAGCAAAAGTAACTTGGACTCCTAAAGGCGCCGGGAGAAGCACAAACCCACGCGAGGGTCAGGCCGAGGCAGCCGCTGCCGCCCGGGGCGCCGCCGCAGAGCCCAGAGCCCCTCAGGGAGCGGCCATGGACCTCAGGGAGCGCCTCCATCCGCATCCCGCTCCCGCCGCCCGGCCCGTGACGTCACCCGGGGC